GGTCCCACCACCATCAATGGTTGGGATGCCCTGGGGTACGATACCCACCCGTCCTTTCTGGTCAAGTTCTAGGAAGCTCATGAAAATCCTAAGAATGTGGAAAGTCTCGAATATAAAAGTGAACCATGACAATATATTTATATAAATGAAGTGTCCAAAAAGTAATGACTCATGACCCTGGGTCCCACTTTGCTGCACAAAAAAAATTAAAAAAATATTTTCTTACACCTTTAATATTTATTTATATATACCATCAACTAATTATATCATAAATAAATAAATAATCAGGGAGCCATATAACTAAAGTGAGTATTTAATAAGCCAGTAACATCATAGCCCGCCAATTACAAACGCCATGTAAACAAATATTGCTATACTTACATGTTTCCCGCCAATTACAAGGGGGTGTCTAAAAAAACTTGAATAAAGTTGTATCATGTCTCACAAAAGAAATTATTAAGTATTTTAAGGGTAAACATAATATTCTCAGCCAAATAAACAGTAATTATTTCCTATCATTAAAGAAATTTGTAACCTTTTAATTGTGGGAAATATTATACAGTAGGTATCCCAACCTCTTCTCTTTTTTTTCTTTTCTTTTTCCGCTAACAATGCAATTTTGTTATTGACAAATTTCAGTGTCAATCGAGTGATAATTTTAGTGTTTATTCCTGAGTTTCGATTTCAAATGCAGAATAGCAAATATTGGGAAGAGTGCCTACATACTCCTTTGTAAAAAAGTTAAGGTATGTGTGTGACGACATGTGTTCATTTTGGTAGTTTTAGACTAATATTTTTTTTTTAAGCTAATAAAATATTTTTGACAGCCAAAAATGGACCTGTCCAAGATGGGTTTGCACATCTTCTTTTTTAAATTGCAAAAGTTAAACCAGTCCAACTTCTCTAATACCAAAATATAAATTACAATTTGAGTCCAACTTGGTTCCCTTTTTTATCAAATTTCTGTAGGACAATTTTAACACGGATTATACTTGTTTCATAAGTTGTTTTAGGTCTCTACAAAATCTATATAAACATTCTTTGTCTTCTATGATTTTTATGATTTTTTAAACCAATTTTCTACAATTCTACGGAGAGCCCACTTGTGAGATTTTCAGAGTGTTTATTTTTTAAAATTTAAGAGAATATACCATACACAATTGAATTATGATGTTGTTCTTTTTACTTTTTTCTTTTTTTGGGTAAATTAAGATGTTGTTCTTTATCTGATCGAAATTCGAGTTTTTGAAGATCCTTTGTTACCGTTCAAAAAAACAGAGTTATTCTTTTACCTTCACCAATCTAGATTTGAAGGAAAGGAGGAATCGATCATATTACAAACGAGATAGAGCATTTGCGATTTTCGTGTTCTATCAGCAACTATTTTACAATGATTAAGGGAGTAAGCCTAAAATCTAGAGTGTTTAGACGTGGAAGTCGCAAAGCCAAAAGCATTCAACAATTAGTTATTAGTTCAACAAAGTGAATTTGACCCGGGGTCGTACTCTATTGAACTTTGCTTTGAAGATAGAAATTGAAGGCAGTTGAGAGAAACAAAGTTTTCATCCATAATCTTCAGTAAGGTAAAATTTCTTGAAGATGAGTTACTTTACTTAATTTTGCTAAACAAACTTTTGTTCCTAGATCAGATTTTCTTGAACTTGGATTGAAGAAATCAAAATAGAAATTGATTACTTTTACTTTGAGGCAGATTAAACTTGAAAAAATTATTAATGTTGGCAAGATTGTAGGTGAAAAAACCGAGATTTGGTTATGTGCCTATTAATTCTATGAGACTTGCTTTCAATAGGTCCTAATTAGGTCCTAAGTTTGTATGGTCATGGACTGTGCTTGCATATCTATTTGGTTTCCATTGGATGTACCATATCTTGTAGTTTAGGATTAGTTTGTTTACTTTTAGGTTCATGAGGAGTTGTTGGAATAGAGTTCCAATAGCTATGAAAGTTTGGAAACTAAACCCTTCTACTAATCTTTCTTGGAATAATTGGTCTAAATCTGATTAGTGTGTTATGTTTGCTAGAATTTATGGAAGTGTAGAATTCTTTTGTTGTTTAAGGGGAAAAATTTATGACGGTTGCTCCGTTAATTTGAATCATTGAGAGGATTTCAAATTTGTGGTTATTAAAAATAAATTGCCGGTGATTAGAACAGTGGGCTGTATAAAGATAAATTTGTTGCGAAAATCAAAAGAAAAATAAATTAAACACACACAAGGACTTAGTATTGTCCATTCAAAAATTTGACCCAAAAACTAGGGTTACAGGTTATAGGATTTGTGTTTAGAAAAGTAAAACGGCATACAACACAGAGTTCGGAATGAGATATAAATACATTCACATTAAAGCAAGATAACAAGTGTAAAAAATACCAAATGTGATATGTTTGCCATAATTTATGAGAACATTACGAGAAATGAAGGTTATTTTGTTGTTTTTTTCTCCTGCAATTGCATCATCTCAATCTTTGTTTGTAAGGAGAGGATAATAATGCTCCCATTAATTATGTTATTATGGCATGCACAAGAAACTTTAGGACATTTGGAGTTTGAGTCCTCGAGGCCATCAGGGCATTTCTCAGAGTGTACGCGGACGAGAGACAACACATTCTTGTGGCTGGGCTCACATTGCAACATTTTTCTGCTAGTTTAATGTCAACTTAGTTTAAACACATGTATTAAAATACCCAGGAAGATAATTAATAAAGATCACTCCATGTTTGTTTTCTTTTGTATTTCATACATAAATTTGTGCATATACCACAAATACAATTTTTCTTTTTCCCTTGCGCATTTGCAAGATAGAGAAACATCAAAGAAATTACGAGCACTTATGGTTTAGCCTCATAAGTGAAACTTTTCTCTCATATATGTATGCATGTCAATACACCCACCACTCTTTCTCAATTGCCACCACCACTAGTGCTATAATTGACATTACAATTCAATCAAATGCTTCCATATGTAGTATGTATGCATCATATAAGTACAATACGCATCATCCAACACCATTCCATCCCTTTCTTTCTGAAAGTGGAAGTAAAACAAACATGTCCAGGGTCAAGTCTTGAAATGTGAAATCTAGTTTTTTTTTTTAGGTTGGGGGGGTTGAAATCTAGTTCCACTTGGGGTATTTTCTATAACATTTCATATTCAATTAGGTACTAATTGAAGAAGCACTACACATGAACTCATATCCGATGGATAGTGTGGAGCCTAATAGATACTATATACCAAGGCACAACAAAAAATCAAGAAAATGTGCTAGCTATGGGTTCCATGAAAAATCAAGGGAAAGTGACATTTTCCACAATAACAAGAAAAAGAGAGAGCATTGCCATGAACTTTAGTAATAGTAGTGTCAAAAAGCAATATATGTGGCAATAATGGTGTTTTAACCTTCCATTAATAGATGTAGACTTTTCACGCAGTATCGATGATAATTTGTTAGTTGATACTCCTTTACAGTTTACATGCATGTGGCTGCATCAACAGGTAATCTTCATTTTTGCGGCAGAACTCATGAGGTTGAAGCCGCTATAGGCGAGGAAGCTCATCCTAGAAGGCCTTAGCCCCCCATTCACCTTGCTCTACGATGTGGGCATGATCGCATGGTTAAGTGATTCGTCTCAGTGATAGCAACAACCTAGTCGGGGCGAAGGAAAAGAGGGCACAACTCCTTTGCATTATGTTGTTGTTGTGGAAAATGTTAAACTTATCTTAGATCACGTTTGGCATGTGTTTTGTTTCTGCTGTTTTTGTTTTTGGGCTGTTACAGTGTCGATTTTGGCAACAAAAACATGTTTGGTGCGACCTTGTTTTATTTTACGCCGTGCTAAAATACTTCGTAAACAATGACCCAAAACCAAAACGCTAAAAAGTTAACAGCAAAAATAATGTTTCCGTTTTAGCAAAAAACAAAACACCTAAAACAAAGCACATGGCAAACGGCCCTTTAGCTTTGGCCATTGGATGCATGGCAATTCAGAATCCAGCTGATGATGTCAAGTGACAAGTTTGCCAATTGAAAACTTGTTTTGCTACAAATTTGTAGCAAAACAAATTTTGAGAGTGAGGAGAAGCAATTTGACAATGTCATAAAGATGCTGGTCTAAACAAGAAGTATGATACAACTATATAATATTCCCTTGAAATACTCAATAATTTCTTTCGTCAGATTTATACAGCATGATACAACTTTATTCAAATTTTTGTTTACACGGCTGCTTGTAATTGGCGGGAAACATAAGTAATAGTTTCTCATAAATAAAAAATTTCTTTTGTCAGACTTGTATAGCATGCTAGACTTTTATTCAAAAATTTTGTTTGCATGGCGTTTGTAATTGGCGGGACTATGGCATTACTGGCTTATGTCAAAATATTTTTACTTGTATAACATGATATAATTGATTGATGACACATATAACAAAGTATTAAAGTTGCAAGAAATTCTTTATCCAAAATGAGGAGCTATGTTAACATTGTGTAGCCTAAAGCTGTGTTCACTAGAAAATATTAACTGCAATGAGCTACTTTATGTAGGCTAAGAGTCCATACCTCAAAACTATAACACACCATGCTTGCCTTCAAAAACAATATAGCAACATTAGTAAACAGCTATTTATGTAATGAGTGAGAGAAATATTGCAGCACAAATTTAACACAACCAGCATTCTGCTTTTTCTCCAATGCACTATGAATCCCCATTTTTGTATCCTAAAAGAAGTTTCACCTCTCCTTAAGGGTGGAACGTGCCTTCGGTATCACGTCACAAGCCGTTCTTTCAAAGAATTTGGCTGAAGAAACCACTATTTATTTACCACAAATACAATCAAAACGATAACTCTTGTCCAGACGCATAGATATAAAACTTAATGGGGTTTCACTTAATTCATCATGTCGGAAAGAAGTACAACACATCACATCCAACAACATTCCATCCCTTTCTTTCTGAAAGTGTGAGTGAAAACAAACAAGTCCTGGGTGAAATATGAAATGTGGAATCTAGCTCCACTTGGGGTATTTTCTATACATTCACATTGAATTAGTTGCAAATTGTAAGACAGCAAGCACTACACTGAGCTCATAGCAAAGATCAGTCTCACATTATATCTATCACTATTCACAGGCAAAAAAACAGCTAGCAAATGACAGAAAACACTAAAACTAGTGGGAAGCTGCTAAATTTCAATCAATATAGACAGCTTTTGCCTTCGCATCATCAAACCTATTCTCTTTATCTCTTATGCAAATGTGTTTCTTTCTAAAGGAAGGAAGGAAGGAAGGAAAAAAAAAAATTGAAAGGAAGAAAAAAAAATCCCATTTCAGACTAAGTGCATGAAATCACTGATTATGTGGCAATCTCATCAACTTCAGAATTGAACACAAAACTTGGAAAAGTTGTAGTTATATCCCTGCATTATAATCACAACAAATGTATTTATTATATCAGTCAAAGTTGTGAAGTGTTTGATATATTCACGAGAGACACGAACAAAATACAATTCATACCTCAGATATGGAAGAGTCATGATTTTCAGCAATGAAGGGTTTTGTGTCACAAAATTAAGCCATTCGGATTTGTCTATCTTTTCATCTTGATTTACATCTGCTTCTGAAAATGTCTGTTCACAAAATTTGATGTAAGGTAAGGACCTATGGTGTGGATTCATCTTAAACACCAACAGGATGAGAATCAAAGCTATATGGTTTATTGCCTGAATAGTCCTAGGGTCTTAACAGAGAGGACATTAATCATGTCCTGAAAAGTTTTCCAAGAAATTAAGGATCTCTTTTTTCTTTCCTTTGTAGGTCATTTTCACCAAAATTAAATGAGGAGTGGCAACAGTTACCTTATCCAATATAATCTCAATGGTCTCGTCAGCCAACTTCATTTCAGACTCGCATAAAAGTGCAATTAACATTTGCTTGACCTGCGGTTATGTTGAAACGGGTTGGGTTAGAATTGGTCAAACCGAAACCAAACCATATATGAATGGGTCAAATACAGATAGGGTAATGGGTTAGATAAAAGTAAAACAGATTAACCTAAATCCAATCTAGTTAAATTGGACCAAATTAAAAGGGTAGACCAACAAATAAACCTGAATCATATATATGTGTGTGTGTAGGTACATAACATATGTGTGTGTGTGTGTGTGTACACACTTCAAGGAAATAAAACAAAAAAGAAAAGAAAATAGGAAAATAATAATAATAATAATAATAAAAAGACAAAGGAAAGATGAGAAACTTCAAATTCAAATACTATACTTTTTAAACCGTGAACTTCATAGATAATCCTATAATGCATCACCCCAAACCCTAGCAGTCACCACAAATGTATACATATACATACAAACATGTATCATGCGTTTATTACACCCCTATTATATCAAGCAAAAGGTCAACAAGAGATTGATAGTAAATGGATTATTTTATGATTTTTATCTACATAGAGGAAAAATATATATTTACACGCACACATTACATACATATATAAAAGTTCCAATACAGTATAGTTAAATGGCAACAAATTCAGGAAACAAAAATATGACAGTGTCATGAAAATAATACCCATTGTGCATAATAAGTAATAAGTTTCACTATATGCAACGTTTATGACTTTCAGTTTCAGAATGACAAGTTTAAATTAGCCTTTTAGAGATAAGCAAGCAATGGGTCAGAGTCTTGTGGAGGCACGTGCCAATTGACAATCCCCAGCTCGTGTTCAATATTACATAGTATCTTATCCAGACATATGAGTTTTTCTTGAAAACAAGCTGCTTACATAAGTTCCTTTAATGGTTTCCATAGAGCATTGTAAAAACTGCTAAAAACTATAACCACGAACATACCTCTTGTCGCTCAATAAACCCAGTTCCATCCATATCGTAAAGCTTAAATGTAACTGCAACACAACGCAACCGATAGAGTATAAATAGAACTATATTGTAATGCGAAACTTTTGGATGCACTTTATGCAATCTGAGGTAATTATGATGTAGATGTAGCTTTCAACTTACAATCAATCTTGTCTTCTTCTGGGGCATTTGGGTGGAAGACATTGAGTGATCTAACAAAGTCACCAAAATCAATGGCTCCCTTTCTTTTAACATCAAACAAATCAAAGATCTGCATGTAAAATTTATCCAATTTTAGACAGAAAATAATTAAAATGGATGATTTTACACTAATTTTTTAACACACAAATTTTCCAAAGAGAGAAAGGAGGAGAAAATTTGTTTATAATTTTTGAAGACATGGAATATATAATTTATGTTCATCTTCAGCTAACAACCTAAGCTGAAAACCGTCATAACTCCATACCGTCAATCAAATCCAATTTCGTATTTAGTGCCTAATAGTCCCATGCACATCATATATTTTCCAAACCTAAGAATTAAACCATAACCCAGCTCCCAACAAGCACAGAAAATATATTAGTGTATACATATGCATATGTGTTGTATATAGAAGAAGGTTACATGGATTCCAACACAAACTTTCATTCAACCCAGCAAAGTTCAATCATAAAAATTTGTCCAAGGTTCTACTCACAAACATTGATGCAGCCCTTGGGTTACAACAAGGTTTCAAGAGAAATTGTGGAGAAATTTATGTAATTAAGATCTAGAAATGCCAATCAATTAAGCATGCAATAATCTCCAACCAACAAGAGAACAAAGAACACTAAATTTTACAACCAAGTATATGCAGAAATTATTTAGAGAGCAACCTTACTCAATGGAAATATAATCAAGCCATAAACTTCAATATATACTAAACAGTAACTATATTACATACCATAAAAGCTTGTGCAAAAATCCAAAGTAGGTATTATAAGCCCACAGAAACCAAGGCGAGATGTAAATGAACATTGGGGAATGGTTAGAAAGGAAAAAAGGTGATTAGCTGGTGGCGTAAACGAATGATATCATCAAGTCTCACTGTCAGCTTCCCCCAGTCAAGGGAAGTTGGACCAGAGCTGCAAATAGACCAAGCTGGCACATACAACTGGGCTTCAATTTTTTGAGATCCTGCCTCATGTTTGTTTATTATGTAAATGATCCTAGCTCAAAATGCAATGTTTGATTCATTTAATTGAGACAAACCCAAACAAATAAGTTAGTACTTCAATTTATTATTAGTAAAGTACTATTAACTTGAGACTAAACCAAGCTCATAAAAATAAGCTCCAGTTGAGCTTGGCTTCGAAGGTGAGTTGGGCTCCGACTCAAGTTCAGGGTTCTATATCTTAAGTGTAATTTACTCAACCCGTTCGAGTTGCACCTTGTACCTTCTTGGAGATGAAAAGGAATGGAAATATCACACGTAATATAGCAGGACCCAGAAAATACTTTGGAGGTGGAAAACCAGACAAACTCACTAGGATTATAGGGGTGGTGGTTTATTCAATATACCATGACAAGGGAACTCTAGTTCATTGAAGGGGATAATAATGGTTGTTAATCTCAATTCTCCCAGGAATGGCCTATTTATATTGCCTGAAGGCGGTTATTGTCCTTCGGGGCAATGGTCCAACAGTTCAAAGGCTTTATCACTGCAAGACCTCACCTACCTATGCATGGTAGTGGTTGGTTAATACTAGTTCAAATCACCACATTAAACAAGAGCGATTTGGCATTTAATGCAGTTGTAGTGGCTGGCTAAGCTCCAGTACTTGAGGTCTCTATCACGGTGCACTCTGATCCATCATTTTGAGTCAGGTCTAAAGACTAGAGCAGTTCGACAAACTCTGGTTCTCAGACTCCAGACCAAAAGGCCTTCCAAGTGTTCCTCTGAAATTGCAAGGATACCTAGCCCTACCTCTGCCTCCATCCCGTTCGCAATTCTTTATTACGTACAAGGTTTATTTGCGACAAAAAAACTCCTCGATTTGACTCAAGATTTATCCATGAGGAATAACTCCTCAAAGTGCATTTGGTGTTACTTGAGGTAGGTGCAGAGCTCCTCGACATGCACTTGGTTTGACTCAATGTTTAACTACTCAAAGTGCACTTGGTATGACACAAGATTTATCTAGACGTGCACTTGGTTTGACTTAAAGTTCATCTGTCGGGAAGAACTCAAGTTTGTATTTTCTTCAATATGAACTTTGTCGTTTAGTTGAACCCATGCTTTGATTGGTTGACAAATGACCACTTGCCACGTGTGCCATTATTAGTGATTGCCACATGTGCCATTATTAGTGACATTGCATGTGCCACGTGGAGAAGCGTGGACCATCCACACACCCATCCAACGCAACTTATCCACCAAGTACGACAGAAAGCATTTTGTTAAACATTGTGAACAGTAGTTTCAAAGTAAATCTCACAAGTAACAATTTTGAAATTTGTTTTCAAATGTAATGTTAACATTAGGTTATCTGAACAACACAGGACATCATATCCCTTACAAACCCACAGAGAGCACTCAGACACACAAAAGGCAAAAGATAACTCAGTTAGTAATAGATGTCCTGCAAACCATTGTTTCATCGATGTTGATAATAATTCGTGGTATTCAAGATTTAAAATTTACTACTTGCAAAAGATCATATGCTACGACCAAGCAAAAACAACTGTTCTCCAATTTTCACCACGTATTTACAAGAGCAACTACTCTCTTCATGTTATGGCCTAAAAACTATATATTAACGCAGACTTCATACACTAAAAATCTAAAGGGGTGTATTATTTATTGCTAACGAGCTTTGTAAGGTCCTATCCACCTTGAGCAGGCCGAAAAAATGAAATTTCAAAAAAATTGACCATAAAAATATCCCAAAGTTGACCAGCAGGCCCCCACTACCGCAAATTATGACTTATGACTAGGCTTTGCCACTTGAACGGACCATAGGCAAGTGGCCCTCCGAAGTGCAATAGAGGTCACCAGCCTAGGCCTTTCCCAAATGATAAAGCATCATAATTGACACCAGGTTGCATAAACAATCATGTTTCAAAATCCATATGCAGGTCACTTCTACAATCTTCATGATGTTATTTAAAGATAGTGTCATATTGAAATATTTCATACAAATATTTCATACAGATATATATATTTTTTTAATAAGTACACGATTTCACACACATTTTCTAAAAGTCTTCAAAGAAAAGTGTATGTTCACTTAACAACTTAATCATACTATGATAAACCAGGTTAGAAAAAATTTATATAAATGGTTCCAATTGTCTCACAAAAACAACCAGATTTCCACCTAAATTTGATAAATAGCCAACATAGCACGTATCATGATCAGAACCAGCACATACTGAGGAACCAACATTTGAGTTGGAAATATCAATAAGAAAACATTCAAAATTTGAATGGTGATTCATGCCATTAGATGAGAAGCAACAAAATATTTAAAGCACAGCTAAAAATCAATTTGGTAATAATTGAATCCAAAATGATAAATCACCATACCCGATTTGCAAAGATGTTCTCCTTCTTTTTGTTCTTGAATAGAGCCAATTGAAACTCTTCCTGCAAATTCAATAGAATAATATATATTGGTCAAGGCCCATAACTTTCCTTCTTTTTTCTCTCTCCAAAAGTAGGACTAAAAAAAACATAGATATTGTTCAACATATATAAAAGAAAGGCAAAGAATAAATATTGTTAGAGAATAACACACAAAAGAAATATCCTGAAAGTCACCGGTAATCATCACCTTTTAAAACTATAAAAGTTTCAAGAAAATATTTGAGATACTAGCACCGAATAAATGGACATAATCCGTGTACTTCAGTAAATCGTCATATTTCCAATGTTTCCTGACCATATAAATCATCAAAGAGCCCCATAATATGTCAATTACAGGGTAAATTGATCTGCATGATTGTCTTTGATTCTTTTCTGATTAACGCTAGAAAAAAATAAGATTTTTCTCCCTTATTGAACAAATATTTATTAGAAACCTTAAGATGCTAATTACTCTAAGAAAACTAAGTCACTGAAGAACAGAAAATATGAATTCAACCATCCTGTTTCCCCAGTGCCGAAACTTTTCTATAAAACAGTTTTACTCAGACTGATACTAACTTCACCTTTCTCAGAAAGTCAGACGCATTAAGAAGTGACTTGAATAATCTGGAGACAGGTCAAATGTTACTGCCCAAGTCACCACCTATCCAAATGAAAGGATGGAGTACATTGCTGGCAATCTCCAGTTTTACTTTATCTTGGTAATAAAAGAATGATGATCTTCAAAAATGAAGTATCATAATAGTACAAAAGAAAGATTAGTAATATGGGGTAAAAATGAGGAAGAGGCAAAGCCAAAATATGCCCTGCCACATAAATGAACTTTATTTATCTGGATGTCTGCAATATAAATGAGCCATAGATTAAAATAAATACATAAATAATGGAAGGGGGTAGTCTTGGTATAAACATTACCTTGTTTATTAGTCCGTCATCAACCAAGGAACTGCTAATACTCTTGAATAGTTCAAACAGGGCTTCAACTTCACTAACGCTGACTGAGGAACAAGAAATCGCATATGAAACTGAAGTAAATACAGAAAAAAAAAAAAAAAAAAAATGCTCTGGTTTTCACTATTTAGCTTATATGATTAATCTCAGAAGCTTTAGCCAAAACAATAATCAATCTTCAGATGATACTTAACTCAATAAATTCCAAAAGCCATCAAATTAAACAAGAATAATAAAATTTCACCAACACTGAAATAATAATTTTTATATTAAAAAAAAAAAAGGTGAACTTACAAGCTGTCTGTGAAGCAAGAACAACTGGGTCCTCGTGTCCAGGAAATTGCTTTTTTGCTGTGGAATGAAAGCAGCCCATTTACTGAAGAAGAACAGCTTCTTCGGTGCACTACGAAACTAGCGCCTGAGGCCGGGACTTCAGCTTCACTACAATATATCATCAAAACCATCTTAACCTTGCAAATTACAAATCCAAATTCAAACACCATCATACAAAACAATCAGTAAAGAAGAAAACATCAAAACCATACAGATTTACCAAATTCCCAGATCACTCAACAAATAGGTCCAACTTAAAATCAGATGCAGAAATGTACATCTTATCTTAAATAACAAAAATGAAAAGGAAATTGAAATCTGATCTTTCAGACCAACTAAAGAGAAACTATGGCAACCCAATCAGAAGAGCCATTTAATGAAATTCATTTATTTATACATCTACTGTCTACACACCCAACCCACCCACCACTCACACACACACAAGTTTTACTGCTTTTATTGGTTAGTGAAAATGATAGAAGAGAAAATAACAGAAAAATGAGAAAATAAACTAAAAATAAGAATAAACAATTAAGTAGGAATAATATCATAACATTGAAAAATCGAGAAGATAATTCCCTATTGTTGGGAACTACACATAGAGAATAAAAGACTTTTTTTTTCTCTCTTTCTTCCTCTATTTCCCAAGCAACAAGGGCTTAGCATTCTATTGGTAGCTAACGGTAAACAAATCAACTTCCTCAATTCTCCTTTTAATAAATAATAATAATAATAATAAAATTGATCATTCAAGTTGTCAAAACATAATTACATTGCTGAATGAAACAGAGCTTCCTGCCAAAAAAATGAAATTTTCTTTCAGAATCAAACATCTGAATATACACCACCTGCTTTTCCTTTCTTCCTCACTTTTCCAGCAAACCAAATAAGACCCAACCCTCCATTTGGTAGCTAAAAAGGGAAAGCCAAATCAACTTTCCCTACCGCCCTCCTTTCTTTTGCCTTTATTTCTCAGCTACCAAACAGAGAATCCAACGGCTAAACAAATAGAAATCACATAAAAGAATATGAATTGAACCAAAACCCAAAACACCAAAGCCCTAAATTTCCACAACTACACAATTTATCACCATTCAAACAGCGTCGATGTACGATTGAATAGACGATTTAGATCCAAGAAAGAGACATTCGTGACTTACCGATGATAACGACGGCGACAATCGCACTTTTTCAGTTGCAAAACTAAGTCGTAGAGAGAGAGAGCTTGAGAGAGAGAGAGGAGAGCTCAAGGGGTTTACGGAGCTGTTGTATAAGACAGATAAATGTTTCTGTATGTGAGTAGTGCGTGTGTATAACGATTGTTAACGGTAGCGATTGGCTCTTCCCACAAGAGAATTTGACGCTGTTTTTGTCTCGTAACGGGGAGAGAGAGAGAGGCGAAGTCGCAATTGGGAAACCAGGAAGAAAAACGAAGTTACTGGAAAGGTTACTGAAAGGTTAAAAACTAGGGGTAGCAAAAACAAAAACAAATGGTTGGAGAAACGATAATGTTTTTATATAACGGAAGAGCTTCTATATATATATATATATATATATATATTGAATAATACGTATATTTGAGTTTATTCACGGCAACAAATAACTAAAAATTCATATTTATATTGAGTGACTTTTTATTTAATTTATATAATTTTTTGGTTTATAAAGCCTTTGCCATTATGTTACATAGTTTGAGAAAGAAAAAGAAAATTAAAACATATTCCATGATAAATCGAATCGAATTAATCTGTTATAATAAAAAATTAGAGTTTGATTCCAAAAGGAAAAATTAAAGAGAAAATAATATAGACAATGCGAAAGAAAAAATGCAAAAATTCCCCTAATCTAACTTGGGTAGGCCACGAATTAAAAAAGGTATAACCGGAAAAAAAAGGGGGGGGGGGGGGGCGAACTAAAAACTCTCCAAATTTAAAGACAAATCAATTTCAATGTTCCATATCTTTAAATTCAAAAAGTAAAAATTCATTTACGTTTTGAATATATCAAATCATTTTAACAGTAAGTCAAAATTTCATTAACTATTGACTTTAATAAAACAAATACTACTTTAACAAAACAAATAGAGTATTAAATAAGAACTCATGAACTCAAAATATATACACAATTTAATTAATAGGGTTCAAATATTCATTAATCTATACTTTATTATGCATTACGATTTAGAACTTCAGTAATGGTTAGCTCATTTTATGATTTAGAATTTTGGTAACAGGGAAGAGTGAGAGTTTTTAGTTTCTTGTTTGCGAAGAAAAAGAGAAAGTAAGAGTTTTTAGTTTCCTGTTTTTAGTTTTTAGGAAAAGTACCATATTTTCTATTTTTCTTTTTCTTTTCTTTTTTCTCTTTCAATTATACCAAGTAAAGAAAATACCTTTATATTTTTTAACTCTGAAGTAGCTTAGCCAAGTCAAATCCGGAGAGTTTTTGTGTTTTTTTATTACGAGAGACATTATATATAAAAAAAAATATTCATATAAATACCATACTTAGGTCCCATTAGTGATGATTTATAACATATTGGATACATTCTATTTTAATAACCAAATTATAAATGGTAATCAAATTATTATCTCTGATTTGATAAGTAAATATGGACTCACCATATTTTATTTAATAATTAAAATAAAACATGTTCGTATTGAAACATAAGTTAATTAAACTAAAATTAAAACAAATTATACAAAAATACACCGTTGAACCACACACGTAAACTTTTCTTTTTCCACGTGAAATTTGAAACAATTGAAACACGCGCCCTAAAAGCAAGGAAATTGGAAATAGAATATTACTGTGGGATAAGGAATATTCCTCCCCCGTGAAAATCATAATTCATAGGGTATTAAATAGATGTTGTTGGGAAAATATATATACTACTAATAATAAATAAAATAAAATAAATGTCGTTGATTCTTTTGCCGTCCAGACCTATTTGTCATTGACATGTGAATGATTTAATTTGACACTCCATCACAGTTGGAATATATATTTCAATTGCGTTGAAATGTTTTAAGGTTTTTAATTTGGACGAATCAATTGAATAAAGAAACTTTATTACTTTGTGTTTGAATAGAGTTATATAGGAATTCAAGTTCAACCAATGTCACTTGACAACCTAACCAAGTCTGTCACAAACAGCTGGAGTTAATATATGACTGCCTTTTAACATGTCTATATTATATATATATTGATTATATTTATATTTTTCCAAAAGTTCATTATCACAATATTGTTCCTGATAAAGGCACGAACATTCAAGTTTTTATTTAAAAAATAGAGATTATACAATTTTAATTAATATCTATCTAAAAAAAATATGATACGGGATATAAATATGACATAATATGTCACTGCAATACGACAAATCTCAATAAATAAAATATGTGTATCGGAGGAATACGGCAATAAAAATAATACATTATATATATATGTATATATATAAATTAGTTTTTTATTAACTTTTTAAAATATTATGAATCTTAATGTAATCACTAATACAAATAAGCGTCCATTTCATAAAATATAAAACAAGTATCCCTAATCAAATGCGTAGTATATTTTAAACTTTTCTTAATAATTATGTTATAATATTATTGTTAGAAGAGTTATATTTTAAGTTCAAAACTTTTTAAAAATATATTTTGAAATATCCAAAAAGTGTTGAATAGATGATCAAAATATCTTAAAAGTATGGAATACATGATAATATAAAAAAAAATATCATATACCGATTAAAAAAATTTAAAATATAATTTAAATGTCTATCTTGGAAAAATTAAGAGCTTAATTTATTGACTTATGCGTTTGATCACATGGCCATGTTTAATTAAAGTTGGGACACACGTGTTTTGTCTGTGATTCTATGCCCTAACATGCACACAGATGTAGAAATGAGTTCTAACAAATTTTTTTACTACTTCCAACCCATTTTAAATAAGGCCTTTAAAACTATGACTCACAATTAGGGCAGGCTTGACACTCATCTCAGATTAAGCTCGTATAGAAAATCTTCAGCCCGAACTCAACCCGAGCCCGCCTTAAGCCCGAGCTGAGCTACCCAAGCCCAGTTCATACATAATTTTTTCAGCCCGAGCCCGCACTAAGCCCACCTAAAAAGAATTTATGTGTGAAAAATAAATCAATTAATTTGCACCCATGACTTGAACCTAAGTATAATTATAAATATATATAATATTTTTGGGCTCGGATTGGGATTGGGCTTCATTCATGTCAACCCAAGCCCAGCCCGAATTAAATTCGGAGTTAAAATATATAACCCAGTTACAAACCGAAATTAGAAAAATATTACCCAAGTCCACAAAATTTCGAGTTGGATTCGGGTTATTTCGGGTTAGGCCCGCCTGAGTTGCAGCCATACTCACAATTTTGAGAGTCACAGTTTTCAAATGCGACATTTAAAATGGAACAGGGGGAATAATTAAAATTGAACATAGATAAAAAAATTTAACAATATTGTTTTTAATTATGGGTTAATTCAATAATTGTTCGAAACATATAAAATCAAAGAAGGGCAGGTAGAGTATTGATAGTGAATTATTCTAACGGCGTTGTCGACAACAAAATTGTGTTCCTATGGTTGTCAAGGTGACAACGCGTTTTTGTGTTTGTTGCTGGCACGTGTAGAAGCTCGAGATGGATCATGACCATTGGAAGGTTGACGTAATATATTCACAGACAAAATTAACGTGAATTCTAATCTTTAATTATTTTAATCACACAAGGTTTAACTAGTCAATTTTTTATTCTTCTTTCAGTCTTTTCATTTTCCTTTTGTCGGTCAAGATCCTGAAAAAGTTACTATTTTTATAATGTTTTTATTTAAATTTTCTCTATTATATTATTCAAATCAAATCATGCGTGTCCATTCGAGACTATTTGACATGTTTGTGGGGGTAATAACATAATTTTCTTCTTCTGGTCTGGTCTAGTGGTCTGTGTGATTGATTGAATTTTAAAAAGTTTTTTTTTTTTTTTTTTAAAGTTGAATGGGTAAGCTTGAATTTTAAAAAGTTGGTGTTATAACATTACACTATCACTTTGTATGGATCAAGGCGACAAAGTTTAACATGATATGTCAACACGATTCGAACACGATACGAGTTAAATGAGTTTGTATTGATCTTAAACGAATTTGGATTGTAAATGAGTTTATACGATTAATCTGTTTAATTAATCGAGTCGTGTTTGCGTTAAGGGGTTCAACTCCGTGTAACTCGTTTATATCTTTTTAATTATGTGTCATAAATAAATTTTTATTTAAGTTCTAAAATAACTATCTAAACTTATATCTTATAATTTATTATTTCGTAAATTAAAGATTATTTAATTATTTGGTTTGATTGAAATTTATATTTTTGTAGTATTTAATGTTTTATCTAATATTATTAATAATTTAAATTATAAACTATTTAATTTAAGTCATTAAATGGGTTACACGTGTAACCCGTTTAGTGAATTTCTGACACGATTATTAAACGGATCGTGTTTGGGTTGAGCTGTTTAGTAGAATACCCTTAAATCGACACGATCTAATTACGACCCGCGAACACAAATTGTGACCCCTAAACACAAGTCTACAATACAAAACCCTATTTCGTATTTTACTTTTCTTTTATGTTTCCAATACTGCCCTTGAGTTCATCACTAGCATATTCCATGGCTAATGTATATCACATGTGTATTTAGATACTAATATTACAACAATTAAAGTGATTTTTCTTTTCAAATTGTCTCGCACACACGAATAATCAGTCACTCAACCCATTGTGCTCCACAACCTTTGTCTATAGTACAACCAGCATGTGCCAACATTTTGGTATCAAATTAGAGAATAAGGAAATCTTAAGACAATTCAGTTTATTTGTTTGAGACTATATGGGAAATCTTCTCCTAACATTTAAATTATTATTATTTTTTTTTTGATAAGTTCTAACATTTAAATTATTTGACTAATTATCAATGAAAAATGATAGGGTTACTGAATAATTTTTTCGAATAAGTGTCGAATTTGATGTGTTTTTGTCCACCTCATCTATTTAAATAACTTTTAAAAAATAATTATTTAAAACATAATAAGTATAACCAATCACGTCAAATTCGGTATTAATTTAGGAATTCTTTTTCGATTTCCTACCGTTACTCATTATCAATTTAGATCCAATGCATGAAGTCATTTGTGAGGTGCAATGAAGCCCCAATTGACACTAACTTGTAACTAAAAGCATCCCAATTAATGACTTAAGCTGCTTTGGCAAAAACTCGCACTCTAAGAAGGAAAAAACAATAGTAATTACTTTACTACTGTTTTACGTGAGTGGGACTCACAAGTTCGAAATTTTTTTTTTTTTTTTTTTTTTTTTTTTACCTCTACTGAAGTTTGAACCCCTGACCT